TATTTCTGAGTTGATCTCATTTAAGAGATTATACTGGAGCAAAGGTAATTCCAGCTCTTTCCTACAGGGCTATCTTTCACTGAAGCATTAGTTTAGACAGTCCTAGTTGATATAAAAGGCTTACGAATAGACATACCTTAAAAACAGCTGTAAGTAAGAATACTTAATAATGTGTTACGTGAAAGCTGCTAAATTACCTGTCATTAGGGTTATCTCTACTCCCTTATCAAAAATTCTATGTTTTTATCTTTTTGAATTACACTCGTGTAAACTGAAATTCTGTCTTCCTAGAGACTATTTCAGACTCTTGACAGATTTGTTAGGTGTCCCATTCATGAGAGAGAGTGAATAAATTGGTGCAGACTTTGAAAGACATGTGGACAGTTTAATATTTGCAGAAGCAGAGAGGAAAGTCTCCAAAGGGAAGCATTTGAGCAGGGGATGGAGGATTGGATTTTTCCTCCAATACTTCCCCAGTGCTGTTATGTCATTCTGGGTGAGTGTTAGAACACAGATGTTTTCCCAAGGGGTCATGCATCAATTGTGCTCTGTTTTCTGAGCATCTCTGCCAAGGTCTTGTTTGCAGAAGTGTTGAGCGCTCAGGCCTACAACAGAACCTGATGAAAACAACTGTCCTCTGAATGTCAGCCTTCTCTGAAAAGCTGGATTCTTAGTGTTTCAACACCTAGTTGTTAATATATCTTTTTTTTCTTTCTCTCTTCTTTCCATATAGAATGTGAATAACAACACCCTCTTCTTGGAGGAGTTTTTAACAATAAATTATTCTGTAGTACATGTTCACCCACTATAGATAGGAATGCCAGAGGAAAAACTATAATGAAATGATTTTTTTCTTCAAAGCAGAGTTTGTAAAATGAGCAATAGATAGTCTTGGTGCTCTATATTCAAGAGCAACATCAAACACCTTGTTGAATAAGTACTCATCAAATGAGTAGCGTCCCTTCGATGCACCTTACGATGGAGAGTCTTATGAAAAAAATATTAAATGATCATTTAATTAAATATCATAGCGCATATTTCCAAGAGCGTTGTATTAAGGTTTCAAAGCAAGTTTTGATTCGTCTTTTAACTCCACTTCTGAATGCTTCATTTTGCAACTTAATAATATTCTTTTCATGTAACTTTTTGAGATTATTGCAAATCAGTGTTGTAAGTAGAAGCCACACATGAAGAAGAATTAGTGAGATGCTCCAAGGTGACTTAAAGTGTAGCTGGTGTCATGGAGCCCTTCCCAGCTGCTCCTCGCAGGACAGCACCCCAAGCAGAGGGACTGGTGTCGTCCCGTCAGGAAAAGTGTCTTCCTGAGACAGCCTTCCCTTTTGCCCGTACTGCAATCCTGACAAGCAGTAAAGACTCATGAACAGGGGCCATAAGAGTTAGAAGGACCTGACCTCTGAATTTGTAATTTGGATTTTGTGAGTGGCTGGAACACACAGTGGAATAACTCAGTTTAGACCACTGGTTTCTACATACAAATTTTCTAGTTTTCAGTCTCTTTAGGTACATGGTACTTTGCCCTGATGTTGCAATGTAGACTGATAAAGTGGGTATCAAATCTGTTAAAATGATAGATATGAAAGATAGATATTTTCTCGAGGCACCACTTTTTGGGTGTATAAAAAATACCCAATATTTTTATTGTTCAGTTCAGCCATGCACCTGCCATAGCAGGTGAATATGCAGAGGCTCAAGCTGATTATTTAACCCTGTGGTTTATTGCTATGATCTGTAGTTCAGGTGATCTAAGGGGATACATTTTCTTACCACGCTGCTGCCCCACATATAGTCTTGCCCTGCCAGTTCCCCTTCTTGTTTTGTGATGACGCTCTTGCCTTCCTAGGCACTGTTCGTGTAAGCAAGAATACAGACTTCCTTGTTTGAAAAGCTCAATATTTGTACTCAAAAATGTACCAATGCACTTAGAGTTAAAAAAAGACAAATATGCTTAATTTAGTGCTTATAGTGAGCTAAATCCAGCAGGTTTGTGTTTTGCTTGTCTAACAGCAGCCAGGCTGTCTGCTCAAGATTTTTTTTAAAGGGGGAGTTGCTACTTTCTGTCAGTGGGGGGAAGCCTCAGCCGCTGCCCTGCTTTCCTTGCCCGAAGAGAAAAGAAACCGGGAGGTTTCGGAGCGAAGCATGGGAGGGTTTGTTAGAGAGGAGCCGGGCTGGAGGCGCAGGCTGGTGGAGCAGATGTGCTGCCTGGGTTAGTAGCGGGGCTCCCCCGGTGCGGGACGGAGCCCGCAGAGCGCTCGTGTCGCAGCTCACCCCGCATTCCGTGCCTCGCTTCAGCACTGCGCTCGGGAGGCTGTCGCGCTCTGCCCTTGCTTTGTGCCGTGTTTTCTGTGCGTTGCTTTCAAGGGGAGCATGCCGAGTACTGCTGTGCCGGACTTTGATTCTAATGTGCATTTACCTTGCTTGGAGGAGCTTGGTTTTGATTAAAAACACAGTTTGTGGTTCCTTTCCTTTCCTTTCCTTTCCTTTCCTTTCCTTTCCTTTCCTTTCCTTTCCTTTCCTTTCCTTTCCTTTCCTTTCCTTTCCTTTCCTTTCCTTTCCTTTCCTTTCCTTTCCTTTCCTTTCCTTTCCTTTCCTTTCCTTTCCTTTCCTTTCCTTTCCTTTCCTTTCCTTTCCTTTCCTTTCCTTTCCTTTCCTTTCCTTTCCTTTCCTTTCCTTTCCTTTCTTTTCCTTTCTTTTCCTTTCTTTTCCTTTTCCTTTTCCTTTCCTTTCCTGTTTTTCACAACCTGGAAGGTGACAGTTTTCTTCCTAGTTACACTTTTGTGTTTGCCCTAAGTATCAATTTTTCTACAAATGTATATAAAATATACATACATATTTATAAAGGGAATGTGGGTAGTAAGCATCACTCTTTTACCTATGCTTGTGCTTTAATTGAAAATAAAGTTGAAATTAATAGTCACTACATGTTCTTACAAGATAAAAGGAAGTGGATTTTCTTCAACTTTCTTTTTTTCCTGTTGTCACAGTAACACTTCCCCAAATGTAAACTCTTGTAGCATTTAGTCAAAATTAGCTAAGGTTACCTTAAAAAAGAAAGATTCTTTCTACACTTGTGAGCTGGAATATTACAACACAAAATTTGGAAAACCTTTTAAACAGCTATTGCTAATGGAACAGTTATAGGTGAAAGGAGGTCTGAACCTCTTTAGCTTTAGACTTAGATTTTCTGTTTTTACATTTATCAAACCAGAACTTCTCACTTATTAAGGTAAATTACATTGGAAATGTTATATTGCTAGGTGACGGTTATTAAAAAAATACATACATACATATATATATATATATATATATATAAAGCAAAAGTATTTCTTAATCTGTTAGATTTTTCTCTCAGATGCTGCTTGCTTTGCTCTTTATCTGAGGATCCTCCTTTGGGATCCTCTTCTCAGCGCAGAGCTGTGGCAAAGGACAGAGTGCGACAGAACCTTGTATGATCTCGTATGGTCTGGAGAAATCTCTGCAGGAATAGTCATGGTTCTGCCCAAAGGTGAATGTGTGTGTATGGAGCAGATACCGACTGTAGACCGCATTGACACAGTGAACAGTGCATGCCAGGATTACAGGTGTCTTAACAGGGTCAAAAAATAGAAGAAAAAAATCCAAACACAATGATACCTGTACATGTGTATAGTATGCATAAGCCACAGACTGGAAATACTGAGGAAAGCGTCGAGTGCTTTTGCTTGTCTTGTTGGTAGGTGCCTTCCCAAAACCCAACGCAATGCTTGGTTTGGCCCACGATAGGTTGTCTTATGGTCTCATGTCCTTTTGAAAGACCTCAGTATCACTGCAGAGGCTCAAAAGCCCACAAATATGGATCTTCTGGGAAATTTGGGGTGGCTGTTTTATTTTATTGCTATTTGTTCTACCTTTGAACAGTGTGAAAATATTTTTCTTGTAAAACATAGGCTCTGGTTTGATCTTCTAGTGATGGTGGTAGCTGAAGAAGAGATCTTGTTTTGCTACCTGAGCTCTCTGCTAATTCCCAGCCACGCTCCAAATAGCCAGAGAAGCAGCTGCCCTTGGGCCAAGCAGGGTCTTAGGGGTGGTGCTATTTTCGTTACGCGCAGATGGTTCCTGTCCCAAAGCCCTGCGGCAGTCAGTGGCTGTGCCTCGCGCCTTGTGGTGGGCCGAGGAGGCTGTGCTGGAGCGGTTGTGCCTCACACCGACCGCCCAATGGTCCCGCGTGGGCTGCTGAGGTGGTCTGGGCTGGATTTGTGGCTACTGTATCTTAAGCGTGACTCTAACGGGCACATATATACCTCCAATATGCCATATTACCTCCCCTCTGCAAGTGGGCTGCTCTGGGGCCTTTCTTGCTTAGTGCTTCTTCTCAGTGTTTTGTGGGGAATCACAACTGCAGCAAAGAGAGTTGTTGGCAATAGCTGCACAACTGGCTTTGTGAACACGCCTGTTTCTTAAAAGATTGAAGGCGAGAGGGTGATTTCTGCGAGCAAAGCTGCAGCCCCGGCCTGCGCGTTGGAGTGAGAGCACTATCGTAGTCTAAAAGCCTAGTGATCAAAAGGCAGGCTTTCACATAGAGATGTTTCTCTACTGGTAAATGCTTTAATAATTAATTAGATTTTAGAGACTGGAAGCACTGCTTACAGCTTCTACCAAGGTTGCTGTGATTTTTTTTTTCTCTTCTTTTTTTGTACATCTTAACGGAATTGTTGACCTTTTTTTTCTAGGAAGTTTTCTTTCTGTTGATATTGCTGCTCTTCTAGCAGCTTGGCCCCAGCTCTCGCATCAGAGGAACTCGCTTGGAAGCTCAAGATACTTCTGCGTGACATGCATGTGCAAAAACATTGGCACATTATTATTTTAATTAGACATTTCAGAACTTTCACATGCTGTTTTGTTTTCTAGCATTGCTAGGCTGCTGTTTTTAAAACTGTCTATAAAAATCTTCAGGATTGTTTATAGAATTGTTAAAAACTCTTCACTTTTTTTTTTGCCTCCAGATGAACGGGACAAAGTACAAAAGAAGACCTTCACAAAATGGATAAATCAGCATCTCCTAAAGGTCAGTTGTATTTCTGTGATGTCTGGGTGACTGATTATTACAGCAGCGATTGTGTGTTTTGCTAAATGTTTGATTTCAGAATGTAGCAGTATTACATGTAGTAACGAACATAAGCTAGAAAGATCTCAAATTTCAAGGTTTATTGATGTACTTTGTCTATGAGGAGTCATGGGGGAGCTGGAATGCAGCTGTCTGAAATCCCCAAGTGATCTGAATGACTGCTTGCATTTGAAATGTAAATGAGTCCAAATCTAAGGGGCAATAGCTCCTTCTGCAAAGCTGGACTATTTTATAGCCTTAGACACTCAAGGCTGTAGCAATACTGCTAAGGCAAGTTAAAAATACTATTTTTCAAGAGCCCTATTAATTTGAGGATGGGGGAATAACCTGGAGAGGGATGCAGTGACATCAGCATGCTGCTCGTGAATTAGAAATAGAGGCTTTCTGCAGATGAAAATCACTTCTCAGCATCTTTCCTTTGAATGACAATGAACTTGGCCTAAGGGACACAACACATCATTTTAACAACATGTACAAGCTTTTAGTACAGCTTTTAGTCAACCGAAGACTAAGGGCTGTGAGTTCACCTTCCCTGCATGGCCCTCCGGTTCTAAACATAATCTGCTGCTACAGCGCCGACTGTCTAGGCCAGACATCTCTCAGGAGAAACAGATTGTAATTACTTAACATAACTTGCTTTGATTGTATTTCTTTTTCCCAGAGGTTGATTTCATGCAGAAGTCACATTAAATAAAAATGTATCTGCAAGCTGTCAGGTTTGAGATTTAATTAATGAGTATAATGTTCAAATGCTGTTGGAAAGATTTGCATGTGTTCCCGTTTAGAGCAGAACACAATTAGGGGGAAGATTTACTGGTTTTTCTCTGTTTATTTGCTGTGCTTGGGGGCTCCTGGAATATTTAGGAGATGCAGAATTCTGGTTTTGTATGTTTTAAAATTCTAACCCAGACTGCCTTGTGGAGAGGGAGCAACCCGAGGATGCCAGCACGGCCCAGGTGATGCTCCATGAAGTTGGTCACAGTTTTGTGGAAGCTGCTCGTGGCTTAGGCAGAGCCCTCTGTTCCAGAGTGGTCTCTTCATCCTTCTTGCAGTGATGGGGGTTGCAATGACACAGGCAGCTGCTGTGCAAAACAGCTGCTTCACAGACCCCGTTTGGTTGGACACCTCCTTGCTCTGGAAAACCCACATGAGCACGTGTCCTTGCAGGGGGCTTGCTGGTAAGGAATGGCTATGCCCTGCAGACCTGCTGCTCCTCTTCCTTCCCTGGGCTTTGCTTCCTATTTACAGCGTAAGAAATTTATCCTTTATCCAGTAAGTCAAGCAAATTAGATTAAGGAGAAACAAAGATGTACAAGATGGACTGCCAGTACCCTGGCAGCAAAATGCAATCTCCAGATTAACCATCGTGCGTTTCCTTTTATGATTTAAGATAATTGTTTCTGTGTTTGCAGAGGCTGCTGATGTGTTTCCATGTTATAGATACATTTGATAGATGGAGTTTTATGCTTCAAGCAGAAGAGCCTGTCCGAAGCTTTTTGGAGAGCAGTCCTTTAATACAAGCTACACCTGTGTTTAGAAAAGAGCTGTGTACTGAAAATTGCATCCACATACAGCGTTATTTTTTGTGATTTTAAAACATGCACAGTCATAGCTGCCATTCAGTCAGCCTCCTAGGAGCAGCTTAAAGAGGATTTATGCTCTAAACCTGTCAGGAAATAGGGGTGAGCAGTTCAGTCTAAACCCTTCTCTGCCTCCCTCGCCAAGGTCAGTGGCCTTAGGTCTTCATCTCACGTGGTTCTCTGCGTGTGTGTGCATATGTGCTCTGCTGGCCTTGGGAGGGGATTGTGCTTGCTTTTATTTTGTGTGTGTGTGTGCTCTTTACCTTCTTTCTTGCCTTTTTCTTCTCTCTCTCTTATTTTTTCTCCATTTACCTTTTCATCCCCTTCTCTCTTCTTTTTTCCCCACTCTTCCCTTTTTGCTCCCCCAACTTCTTCCTTTTCTTTTTTTTTTCTCTCTCCTACTTCTCCCTCCTTGTTTATTCTGCTCCTTGACCATTTTAATTAATCTCCTCTGCTCTTACAACATAATGACCTCCGGAAAGGACCAGACTCTTATCCCTTTATAGTATATTCAAAAGAGCGTTTTCTAGGTCAGCAGCGCGATGCTTTTTCAGGCTGGCATCATTGGCTGGGGGATGGCAGGCAATCTGCTGTCATTCTTTTAGTGAAATTTGGGAGACGTGCGATTCAGTGAGTAACCACAAGCCACAGCATGGGTGAGAAATAGTTGCCCTCCTGCCCTCTGTTGCCCGTCTCTGTTTGTGTAGGATTCAAAGCATGCAAGTGTATGATAAACTTCCGTGTGCAGAATTAATCTCTTGTCACTTCAGCTGACCAGCTGAGCATGTAACTGTGTGCTTTGCTGCAGCAGAAGCATCGCCACTGCAGAAATATTTCCTGTAAACAGTCTTGAGATAAAGAGTCAAATAGAGATAATTTAGAGAGATAATGGTGGTAATTGCAGAATTCACTCCTATCCTGAGCTCCAGGGTGACGGTCACCTTCCCAGCACGCTCCTGGGGTGAGGAGCTCCTCGTGCAGCTTCTCCAGCACCCGTCTGCTCATGCCAGGGGTTGAACTTTGCTGCTCTCAAAGGGTCAGTTAAATGTTGGTATTTTTACAGCAGGAGATAACACCCGACTCAACCAAAGCAAATAAAATTGTGTATTTTCACCTTCATGTGGTCTTAAACAACCTGAAATGAAATCCATCCTGCATGATGGCCTGGATGTTCTTCTTTAAATTCATTTGAAATGTGGACCCCACTATCTACAGACAGAAAGAGCACCCACATGAGTGGGAAGAGGAGAAAACAGAGGAGGTGATGATGGGAAAATGTAAAAGCAGACAAATTCTTCTTTTTTCCTTCACTTCCTTCCTCAAACCAATTTTAAAATATTTTGTAGCACCAAAGCTTAGTCTTGACAGCTTAAAGAGGGAGTATTAAAGTACTTATGGTATCTCGATTAGAACTTATGGTGTTATGTGAGGTGGGACTGAAGGCAGGGTAACAAGAGACTGGCTAGATCAGTGCACTAAAGCAAATAAAAATACATGGTGCCTGAACACCCAGATAGTTTGCTTTCAAGGAAAAGCCTTTTTTTCCCCATATTTTGTGTAAGGAAAACTTGTGTGTCTGCCAGCAGACCTCCTGGAGCAATGCTCACTGCCAATCACGTCACACGCCAAGGTCTTCGGGAAGACAGTGCTTGGCTTGGGAGCAAGGGCAGCACCCCTGAGCAGGGAATAGCAGCTCCAAAACTCCTTAATAAAGGTCCTGGGACAGGACAAAATGCTTTTTAAAATGACTTTATGTTGCTTTTCTGCAGAAACTCTCTTCAAAATCGTTGTACTCTGCTAGGGGTGTAGTGCTGGTGTGTCGGACAAAACTGCTGTTATCCTGCAAAGACTGAATGAATAATTCAGAGTAGGAACCTGAGGTTATTGATTCCTGTGAGTCCTTCAGACAGGATGTGACTTGCAGATCGCCACTTGGATCAATAGCTTTGTGAAATGCTCCAGTGTGAGGTCTGTGGCAGAGGAACCATTCTGATGCGCTGAGGCCATTGTCTTGCTCACACCCGTGGTTATCATTAGGGAGTTCTCCTTGCCACCATCTGCTTGTTAGCTATGCAGTTAATCACTTGTTCTGTTTAACTCTTTAGAAATAAACATTTTAGCTCTACCTTTAGGTAGGTTTTAAGAGGTGAAGCGCTTGATATGTTCACTTGTTAAAAAAAGAAAGTCTCAACAAGCACCTTTCGTTTTTGCAACATATTTTGAGAGAGGACATTTTGACTTCTTCTATATGTAAGGAGTATACTAAGAACTTTTGCTTTGCAAGTTTATCTGAGTGAATTCCGTGGTAGCATAAAACTGCCGTAGTTAATCTGGACAGCTGCTGTAAACAAATCCTGTAAAATTCTACCTTAAGCGTGGCAAGCAGCTCACTGCGCTTGCTGCTTTAGTCACTGGGTGTAGCCGAGCTGTCAGTATTTCCTCCTCCTATTTTATGTTTTAATTTAAACAAATAAATTGGCTTCTGGGTAGACAGAAGGAAGTTTCAACTTTTCTCATTAAAATTATTCTGTTTTGTGCTTAGGATTATTTCTAAGGATCTTGCATAAATAGAAATGTTTTTGCTTTGAGCCATCTTCCTCCAGCAAAATATAAAAAATTAACACAGAGGAAGAGTTACTAGAGGAATAACCTGCTGTTAAAGGTGTACTTGGTTTTGCTATTATCCTTGGATATAAGCATGATTATAGTTTATTCATCTCATGCTATGCCTACACATTTTTCAAAAAATTTGCTCCCTCCAGCAGGCTAAATGTAATCTCTGTCTGTTTGCAGAGCAGAAAAGCAACAAACTCAGGGTCTTACTGATTTTAATAGAGGTTTAGAAGTGGGAAGGCTGGAAACTGGGAGACTGTGACAAAAGCTGCTAGCCAGATACCAGAAGGACAGACTGGGAGAAAGGAGGAAATTATATCGGGCTAAAGAGGCTAATGAAAATCCACATCCCCAAATCTCTCTGCAAGTAAATACATAAATAAATTCAAGTAAATAAAAACTGTGCCACAGATTTCAAGTTTATTTGATCCAGTTTAATACATGCAGACTTCATGACTAATTGGGAACAGAAAAACGAATAATTGAAACCAGTTAATTAAATATGCATGAAATTTGTGATTGTTTGTGTGCATTGATGTTGATATGGAATGCAGTATTTTTGAACCAGTTGAGTATACGATTTTATGATCCTTTTTACTGTAATTTTCTTTAGTTGTTTTATACAGGTGTGCATACATGAGAGAATTAGAAGCATAAGTTTACTAGAGGTATAAGTTTGAGATTACTGCATGGTGAAATAGAACTATTAGCACTTATAGCCTTCCTATATTAGACTAATTTATTAAT